GTGGGTTCGCACAGGTGTGAAGGGGAATCTGAGTCATTCAACTGACCTTGAGTGAAGCTGAACCAAAGATAGCAAACGGCCCACTCAAGAAAGCCGTATAAACCACACTCCAAATGAGAAGATTGCCGCAGTAAACTGTCAGAAAGGTGATCCACACCACTCCCTCAAGGATCGCCCATTGACACACAATCCCCTCAGTGCCTTAGCGTTGTGACCACTAGCGACCAATACCACCACAAAAGAGGCCGAAACTTGAAAAAAATTGAGAAAAAGGCCCACAAGGTCTTTTTCTTTCAAGTATTGCTGCCCCTTGGGCATTAGGACCCTAGAGGCCAGCATTTGAGCAATGAAAAAGAGGCCGGGGTAGGCCAAGAGGCAGTGCGAGTTGGTACCAACCACTTGGACTGCATGCACTTGGCCAAAATGAGGCCCAGGTACCTCCAGGAGGGCCTAGTGAGGGAATTTTGCCTTGGGGGTACCTCGGTTCACCTCAAGGCTCATGGGGAGGCTCATGGGCTGGCCGGACTGCTGGTTTCAGCCTACATAAGTTGAGGATGCAGTCCGTCACTCTCACATTTGCATGAGTGCCCATGCTGCCCAAGTGAGCTCACATGAGCACCTTTGCATTTGGAGTGAGAGGGGAGGAGCCCATGCTAGTGAGAGGGGAGGTAGTGGAAAGGACTCTTAAGGATAGTGATGGTGGGAGAGACACTTGGAAGGTGATCCGCCATATCCCTCCTGGGTGTAGGAGAGGAGGAGAGGCTAGAGGAGCCCCATTAGCCCTCCTAGAGGGGAGGACTCCATAGCCATAGCTGGGGGAGCTTGCCATCGCCTGAGAGAAAGCAAGGGAGGAGGAGAGAAGGGCTTGGAGAAGAAGGAAGCCATAGCCAAGAGAGGATTGTGTAAGGACTGGGAACCTTCATCAAGAGGACACCAACACCAGGGAATCAACACCAGGGAATCAACAAGTATATAGTGTTCCCACGTACCAAATTGCCTCAAACTTGGTAATCGTGTAGATTTCCCTGAGGCGCTTCACCCTCAATTGACAGATTCAGAGAGTTTAGACTCCCAGGTGCCAATAACTGACAAAGTCAGTGCAGCGCCACATCACCCTGTACTGCGCTGCTTGGAAATTGGGGATCTTGACCCAATTTCACAATCGCAACCTCCTGGGATCACTTCCCTGATAATTGCCAACCTCCAGGTGAATCGCCAGACTATAATTAGCCTCTCAGAGCCTCCCAGGCCTCTGAGTGTCAATCGCCAGCCACTCCTGCACAATCCCAGTCAGGAGTGAGTCACCCACTGCCTGTTGCTTCTCGCCACACACTCACCACCATCACCCTCACTGACAACAACCCTGAAGATATGAATCGCCATGAAATGATGGGTGCTCCAACTCATCAATCGCTCCAGAGCCTGGATCCAATTGCTCTAATACCAACTGTTATGATTTTGGTTGTTCGTTGCCTTAAGGCCAACACTCACTCACATAGACTTCTGCACATGCCCATACATTCACTGAAGGAAGGGAAGAGGATAGGAGTATCACACCGCATAGGGAGAGAGAAACACAGCGGAAGACTTGACCATGCGATATGACAGGGTACACTAAAAGTGCAATTCACTCCACTCAATCCTCACAACCAGTCATAGAGAAAAGCCGAGCAGATCACATCCAGGAAACAGTGAAACGATGATAGTCCAAACACAGTATCATACTGTTTATTAAACTCAGAGTCTCAGATTGTCAGGATAACTTCAGTACTACAGTGCACTGCTCAGATATGAGCAACGCTTCACTCTCCAACCCTGATTAACACCCGCAACACCCCCTGAGTCCCTGAAACATCAAGCGCCACCCAAATACAGCCCCCTGGGGGCAGCGCCACCCTGAAACAGGCCTCTGAGGCCAAGCGCCACTCAGAGGATGAAGAAGAAGACCAGCGCCACAGTATCTGATGATGACGAAGTGTCGGGAGGTTTCCCGGGTGGAAACCTGCAGCAGCGGCACCAAACCCTGACAAGATAACCTCTGAGATGAAGGAGCTGCAACTATGGCTGCAGCGCAAACGCTCTGGGACCCCATTCCGGAAGAGGGTCCAGCAGGGCACCAATCTCTCTCGCCTCCAGCATACCTCGATACCCCAGACCTCTGTCAGCCCCGGCGTGCTGGCAGAGTACAGTGCAGGTCCCAGCTATGGCCTGCACTCCGAAGGTATGGCTATGCCCGTCTCCTTCCACGCTGAGCCGTCACCACTTCCGGTTCACGTGTAGCGCAACAGCGATGTACTCGGTACCAACTGCCAAAAGCCCTGAACCGATGTGCCCAATCTATCTATAGACTACGACTAGCCTACCTCCGACCTAGACCGGACTGACTGACCGACCTGTACCGTATCTGTTTCGGCCTCTCGGCATCTAACGGACCCGGCTATAGTCTATAGGACCGTTGTAGGGCCAAACCCCGGTAGACTTTCGAGCCTTAGTCGACCCCGTTGCGGGTCCCAGTTGGCTCGGCCCGCCCACGCTCATGCTTAGGGCGCGGGCCGTTCGTCCCAAGCTCACCCCCACCTAGTGCTTTGAGATGGATGGGGCTGGGCCGTCGCGCGAAAGAGCTTTGACATTGGGGATGTAGCTCAACCCTCATGCCGGGTGGTAGTCCCGCTGGTCATTCCGCAACGCTAATTTTTTTTTTTGATTCATAGTTGTGTTCTCATACAATTGCTCCTTCCAATACGCAGGCAGTCCAAGGGTTCTTTGAGTGTTTCTCTTCTCTTGTGCGCAGGCTAAGCATCATCCTTAGGCCGCGCACCATTTCCCTAAGCATTGTGGCTATAAGGCCTCATCGGGTTGCGGCGAGGTCGTCCTCCCCCTCGCCTCTATGCATCCATCGGGTCTCGCAATTTGCTTTCAACCTTATTGAGGTAGGCCCCTTAGTTTCTTCGGGGCCCTTATATGCATGCACACGCAACATCACATTTTCCTTGGTACGACTGCACTCTCATTTACACTCCAAGTCTCAAGCGCAAAAGTCATTTCCATGGGGTGGATCTATGCCAAGGGTCCCGTAGCCCCTTTGTCCCTCTTCCCTTTCCCTCTTGGTGCCTAGTTCCTCTCGGCCCTATCCCGCTCAAGGCATTTTTAGCCATCACTCACCTGCACAATCCCACACAAGCGAAGATGCATACAATCCCCCATTCGGGGTCAACACATAGCCCTTTCCACATGCCTATGTTTTCAAACTTTTTGGCTGCGCTTTTGTTCCCTCTTGTTGCTCAATCAGCCCATTCTCTTCTCATAGTCATGCAGTCGGCGAAATGGTTGAGTCAAACTGACCTTGCTTTCACTTATACTTTTTCTCGGATTCCGCCTCTTTTTCCCACTTTCTCAACCGTCCTTTCCTTTGCCTTCTTGGTGGCGCAAGGGACCGGCTACCCTCCCCTTGCCCTCTTTCTCCACCAAGTGAGGTCTGATGTCTTCTTACCGTTCACACCCTGGCCATGTACCAAGTGAGGGGAGAAGGGTTAGTCATATGCCAAGTGGGGGGAAGAGAGAGAGGGAAGCAAAAGTGAACGAGGAGAGAAAGAGTGGTGGAGGGGGAGGAGAGAGAGAGAGAGAGTGAAAGGTAGAGAGGGAAAGAGTGAGAGAGAGAGAGAGAGAGAGAGAGAGAGAGAGAGAGGAGGGAGAGAGGGAGAAAGAAAGAAAGGAGGGAGAAGGAGAGAGAGAGAAGAGATCCCTAATCCTAATCAAGTCATCACCCGTAGTAGCAGCCAAATGTTGGTCACCCATCCATAGTAACAGATCGAATACTGTATCACACATGAACTTGCCATTTGAGAAAGTAGGACTAGCAAAAAGCACATGCACATGGAGAAAAGATCAACTAAGTAGGAGCCGGAACATCACATCAAGCATGAACATGATAATGAGAAGCAAGAACTAATGGAAAGCATATGCACATAGAGAAGAGATTCAACCTGAACATCACACCACATATGAACATGACAATGAGAAGCTACAACTAGTGGAAAGCACATGCACATAGAGAAGAGATCAACCGGGACATCACACCAAGCACAAACATGACAATGAGAAG